ATGCTTCGGATGATGATGATAATGATGATGATGATGATGATGACGTTGATGAGGACGATGACGAATCCGATGATGATGATGGTGATCATGATGATGATTATGATTCGGATGATGATGATGATGATGGTGATGATGATTTGGATGATTTGTAGGATGATGTTTATGATTCGGTTGATGAAGATGATCATGAGGATGATGTTACGGATGACGCGGATGATTATCATATCTATGATGATGTTGGTGATTCGGATGATGATGATGATGACGATGATGTTAAATAGGATGATTCGGATGACTCCAATGATGCTGATGATGAAGATGATGGTTCTGATGATGATGATGATGATGATGATGATGATGATGATGATGATGATTCGGACGTTGAAGATGATGATTATTCGGATGATAGTTATGCTGTTTCGGATGAATCGGGTGACGTTCATGTTGATTCGGATGAATCGGATGGAGATGTTTTTGATGCTGACGATTCGGATGATCCGGATGATTCGGATGATTCGAATGACGATGATGATGATGATGATGATTCGGTCGATTGGTAGAATGATGATGATGCTGATGATGATGATGATGAGGATGATGATGATGATGATGATGATGATTCGGGTGATGATGATGATGAATCGGATGATGATCATGATGATGACGGTGATGAAGATTCGGATCATGATGGTGATGGTGATGATGATTCGGATGATTCGGTTGTTGATGATAATGATAATGATGATTATGATGAAAATGATGATGATAATGATGATCATGATGACGATGATGCTCACGATGATGATGAAGATGATGATGATGGTTATGTTGAAAATGACGATGATAATGATGATGATGATGATGATGATGATGATGGTGATGATGATCATGATGATTATGATGATGATGATGAGGTTTCGCATGATGATTTTTATTATGATGATTCGGATGATTCTGATGATGATGATGACGATGATGATGATGATTATGATGATGATGGTGAGGATGATGCTGAGGAGTTGGACGATGAGGATGATGAAGATGGTGCTGATGATAATGATGATAATTCGGATGATGATGATGATGATGATGATTCGGATGATTCGGATGATGATGATGTTCATGTTGATGATTCCTATGGTGATGATGATTCGCATGATTCGGATGATGATGGTGATGATTATGATGATGAAGATGATGATTCGGATGATGATGATGATAATGATGATGACGATGATGATGATGATGATGATGATGATGATGATGATGACGATGATTCTGTCGATGATGTTTCGGATGATTCGGATGATGATGATTCGGATGATTCGGATGATGATGATAATGACGATGATGATGATGATGACGTTGATGAGGACGATGACGATTCGGATGATGATGATTTTGATCATGATGATGATAATGATTCGGATGATGATGATGATGTTGGTGATGATGATTCGGATGGTTCGGATGATTTGTTGGATGATGGTAATGATTCAGTTGATGAAGATGATGATGAGGATGATGTTACGGATGACGCGGATGATGATCATACATATGATGATGTTGATGATTCGGATGATGATGGTGATGATGATGTAGATGATGATGATGATGATGATGATGACGTTAATTAGGATGATTCGGATGACTCCAATGATGCTAATGATGATGATGATGGTTCTGATGATGATGATGATGATGATGATGATGCTGATGATGATGGTGCTGATAATGATGATGATGTTTCGGATGATGGTGAGTCGGCGAATGATGATGACGATGACGATGATGATACTTATGATGATGATCTTGATGATGACAGGGATGATGACGATGATGATCATTCCGATGATGATAATGGTGAATATGCTGATGATGATGTTTCGGATGATGATGATGTTGATGGTGTGGATGATGATGAAGCGGATGACGTTAAAGATGATTCCGATGATGAGGATGATGATGAGGATGATGCTACGGATGATTCGGATGATGATCATAACAATGATGATGATGAGCACTCGGATGATGATGGCAATGATGATGTAGATGATGATGAAGATGACGATAATGAGGATGATTTGGATGACTCGGATGATGATTATGATTATTCGGAAGATGAGGATGATGATGAGGATGATGCTACGGATGACTTGGATGATGATCATAAAGATGATGATGATGAGCACTCGGATGATGATGATGATGATGATGATGATGAAGATGATAATGATGATTCGGTCGATGATGATGATGATGATGATGATGATGATGATGATGATGATGATGATGATGATGATGCTGATGATGATGTTGATGGTGATGATGATGTCGGTGATTAGAATGCTGATGATGATGATTCGCATGATGATTTTAATTATGTTAATTCGGATGATTCGGGTGATGATGATGATGATGGTGATGATGATGATGATGATGATGATGATGATGATGATGATGATGATGATGGTGAGGAGTTGAATGTTGATGATAATCATGACGATGATAATGATGACTATTCGGATGATGATGATGATGATGATTCTGATGACGATGATGATGATGATGACCATAATGACGATGATGATGATGATGCGCATGATGGTGATGACGATGATGGCGGTAATGATGATTCGGACATGGTTGATGATGATTTGCACGTTTCGGATGATTCGGATGATTCGGATGATGATGATGATTATTCTGATGATTCCTATGATGATGATGATTATTCGCATGATTCGGATGATGGTGGTGATGATGATGATGATGATGATGACGATGATTCGGATGATGATGATGATAATGATGATGATGAAGATGATGATGATGATGAAGATGATGATGATGATGACTGTGATGACGATGACGACGATTCGGACGATGATGATGGTGATTATGATGATGATGATTATTCGGATGATGATGATGATGATGGTGATGATGATGATGATTCGGATGACATTGATGATAATGTTGATGAATCGTATGATTCGGATGATTCGGTGGATGATGATGATGATTCAGTCGACGATGAAGATGATGATGAGGATGATGATGATGCTCATGATGGTGATGAAGATGATGCTGATGACGATGATGATGATGTTTTTGATGATGATGATGAAGATGAAGATGATGGTGAAGATTCGGATGATTCGGGTGATTCGGATGTTTCGAATGAGAATGATGATGATGATGGTGATTCGGATGATGATGATCATGATGATGATGCTGATAATGCTGACGATGATTCGGATGATGGTGAGTCGGATGATGATAATGATGGTGATGATGCTGACGGTGGTGATGATTATGATGAAAATGAGGATGATAATGATGATGAGGATGATGATGATGCTCATGATGATGATGTAGATGATGCTGATGGCGATGACGATGATGATGAAGATGATGATGATGGTTATGATGAAAATGATGACGATGATGATGATGATGATGATGATGATGATGATGATGATGATAATGATGATGATGAGGATGATGATGATGATGCTCATGATGATGATGAAGATGATGATGATGACGATGATGATGTTTTTGATGATGATGATGACGATGATGATGACGGTGATGATGATGACGATGATTATAATGATGATGAGGATGAGGATGATGATGATGATGATGATGATGATGATGACGATGATGATGGTCATGATGTTCATGAAGATGACGATGATGACGATGACGATGATGGTGATGATGATGCCGATGAAGGTGATGATGGTGGTGTTGATGATGATGATGATTATGATGATGATGTTGATTCGGATGATTCGGATGATTATAATGATGATGATGTTGATGACGATGATGATGATGGTGATAATGATGATGATTCCGATGATGATGATCATGATGATTCGTACGATTCGGATGATTCGGTAGATGATGATGATGATTCGGTTGATGAAGATGATGATGAGGAGGTTGTTCCGGATGACTCGGATGGTGATCATAACGATGCTGATGTTGATGATTCGGATTATGATGGTGATGATCATGTATATGATGATGATGATGATGATGATGATGATTAGGATGATTCGGATGACTCCCATTATGGGGATGATGATGATGATGTTGGTTCTGATGATGATTATGATGATTGTGATGATTCGGACGATGATGACGATGATTATTCGGATGATGACGATGATGATGATGATTATCCGGATGATGATGATGATGATGATGATGATGATGATTCGAACGATTCGGTTGATGACGACGATGACGATGATGAAGATGACGGTGATGTTGATGATGACGATTCGGATGAGAATGATGGCGATTATGATGATGATGATGATTCGGATGATGATGATGATGATGATGATGATGATTCGTATGATACGGATGAATCAGTAGACGATGATGATGATTCGGTTGATGAAGATGATGATGAGGATGATGATACGGATGAATCGGATGGTGATCATAACGATGATGTTTTTGATGATTCGGATGATGATGATGATGATTATTAGGATGATGATGTTGATGATGATTATGCGAATGATGATGATGATGACGATGATGATGATGATGCTGATCATGATGATGTTGGTTCTGATGATGATGATGATGATGATAATGATGATTAGGACGATGATGTTGATGATTATTCGGATGATGATGATGATGATGATTATGCGGATGATGATGATGATGACGATGATAATGATGATGATGATGATTATGATGTCAATTATTATGATGAATCGGATGATGATGATGATGATGATGTTTCGGATGATGATTATGATGATTCGGATGATTCGGATGACGATGATCATGATGATTATGATGATGATGATGAATCGAATGATTCGGTATAATCGGATGATTCGGGTGATGAAGATAATGATAATGACGATGATGTTGATGATGATGATTCGGATGATTCGGATGATGATGATCATGATGATTATGATGATGACGATGATTCGATGATTCGGTTTATTCGGATGATTCGCGTGATGACGGTGATGATAGTGACGATGATGTTATTGATGAAGATTCGGATGATTCGTTTGATTCGGATGAAGATGTTGATGATGATGATGATGCTGATGATGATAATGATGATACTGATGATGATGATGATGATGATGATGATGATGATGATGATGATGAAGTTGATGATGACGATTCGGATGATGATGATGATGATGATGATGATGATAATGATTTGAATGATGATGATAATGATCATTACTCGAAGCATGATGATGATGATGAATCGGATCATGATGATGATAATGAAGATGATGATGTTGATGGTGATGATGATGCTGATGATGATTTGGATGATGATAATGATTGTGATGATTCGGTTGATTCGGATGGTGATGATGATGATGATGATGCTGATGGTGAGGAGTTGGATGATGAATGTGATGATGAAGTTGATGACGATTATGATGATGATTCGGATGAGGATGCTGATGACGATTCCGATGACGATGATGATGATGATGACGATAATGACGATGGTGATGATGATTCGGATGATGATGAAGATGATGATGATGATGATGATGATGATGATGATGATGATGATGATGATGATGATGATGA